TTTTGAGGTTTTTTGGACAATTCCTTTTTTCCGCTGACCAAACTCATAGCCCAAAATCATTTTTGTTTCCTTCTATTTTGTCGAATTTAAACAAGAAAAATGCCCCCTTTTCCCATTTCATTGCCCCCGTAAAAAGGGGCAAAAAGGGGGAAAATTTTGGGCCCTTTTACACAAAAAAATTTTAAAATTGCCAAAAATTAAAAATTGAGTCCAGAATAACAATGTAGACATTCCTAGCATTAAAAAACATTTCCTTATTCCTTAGTCATGTCCCAGAACTCCTCTTATAAATACACTTGCTTTTCATTTTGAATTTTTAGCATACAAAAAAATAAAAATTTTGTTATGCAGGCATTGATTATTGTAATAATTGTATAAATAATGTCCTTGCATTCCTAAATGCACATTAGACTGTGATGTCATTTGTGTACTTGGAATATTGGAACCCTAGTGGGTTTAGCACTTCTTTTTTTATTATAATAATGGAATATTGGCAAAAATCGAACATTTCCACTACTTTGAGCTCAAGTTCAAGCTACTTTCACTCTTGAGACCAATCAGAATTGTCTTTATTTCTTTAATGTATCTTCCATTCTATCAAATGAGACCAAGATAACAAGAATACAACCATAAAAAACCATACAAAAACACCGCAAAGTCCTGTTTTAAATCAAAAACATGGTCGCAGTTTTTTTTCTCATGAAATACATGATGCAGGATTTGGTTTTATAAGGTGCACACTTACCACATAGATCCATTCTCTCATATCTAGACCCAAATTTACTGCTCACAGTTATTGAGTGAGCTGAGCTCATGGCGTTATATGAGCTGTTATATGACGGGACCAGCACTAGAGGGACTAATTTATTTTTTATGTATTTCAGTAAAGAGTAAGTGAAAATACAGTTGTATCTGATTTTTTCAGGTGTTTAATTCTTGGCATGACCACCAATGAAAGATGAAACTGTTACCGATACAAACATTTTCAGGTATGTATAAGTAGAGCTTTACCGGTAGTAATATTAACATTTGTAAATATGTATTATCACTTCATGTCTTCTAACATGTACTGTTTATTATCACTTCATGTCTTCTAATATGTACTGTTTATTATCACTTCATGTCTCCTAACATATACTATTTATTATCACTTCATGTCTTCTAACATGTACTGTTTATTATCACTTCATGTCTTCTAATATGTACTGTTTATTATCACTTCATGTCTTCTAACATGTACTGTTTATTATCACTTCATGTCTTCTAACATGTACTGTTTATTATCACTTCATGTCTTCTAACATGTACTGTTTATTATCATTCATGTCTTCTAATATGTACTGTTTATTATCACTTCATGTCTTCTAACATGTACTGTTTATTACACTTCATGTTTCTAAAATGTACTGTTTATTATCACTTCATGTCTTCTAATATGTACTGTTTATTATACTTCATGTCTTCTAACATGTACTGTTTTTTTATCACTTCATGTCTTCTAACATGTACTGTTTATTATTTACTTCATGTCTTCTAACATGTACTGTTTATCTTAGTTTTTTTGCTGATGTCTTCCCTATTTTAAGTAGAATAACATTAACATATTCATTATGTATAGTGTTAGGCTCCAAAGGCAACTGTTGTGGCCATTTGCATGAAAATTTTTTTTGACCATGAGAAAACAGAGTTGTATTTTGTTGTAAATACTAGAGATTG